CCCCCAAGTGTATTACGAAGAGGACTGGAGTGAAAACAGAGGTCCCTACTCAGGATGGTTGGCTTTACGTGTCAACTTGACTGGGCCATGGGATGCTCAGATAGCTGGCAAAACATTATTCTAGGTGAACCTGTGAGGTGCTTTTGGATGAGTTTAACGTTTTAATTGGTGGACTGAATAGAGCAGATTGCCATCCTGATGTGGGTGGTCTTCATCCAATCACTTGAAGGCCTGAGTAGAATGAAAAGGCTGACCCTCCCATAAGCAAGGGGGAACTCCTCCTGCCTGACTGCTTGAGCTGGTGCACTGGCCTTTCCATGCCTTTGGCCTCAAACTGAAATATTGGCTCTTCTTGGGTCTTGAGTCTGCTGGCTTTTGGACTGGAGCTTACACTACTGGCTCTCCAGCTTGCCAACTGCAGCTTTTAGGACTTCTCAGCTCCATAATCATGTGAGCCAATTCCTTATAATGAAACTCATTCTCTCTCTCTCTGCACATACATACATACATATGTACACACACACACCCTATTGGTTCTGTTTCCCTGGAAGCCCTAATACACTATCCCTGGAACTCGAGGGGCAGGCAGGAGTTTGTACTCATTTACATGCTGCAGCACATACTCAACTCAGACATACTCAAGTATACTTGAGTATAATGAGCATAGAAGAATTTAAGGGGGAGAGGGAAGTGGGTGGTTAGGGCAGAATGTCCAACAGAGGGACCTGGAGGTTTTACCATGTGTTATGAATGGCGATGCAAATTTTGGTTTTATTGCACAGCAGGAAGCAATGGAACTGTGAGAAGAACAGGTGTTGGGGGGGAGGAGGGTAAGGGAAATATTCGTAACCTTAACATTTGTACCCCCATAATATGCTAAAAAAACTAAATAAATAAAAATTAAAAACAAAAAACAACAAGTGTTAATGATCTAGGTTCAAGTCTTGATGGTGTAAACCAGGTCAGGTTGCTCAACCTCTCTGAGCTGCAATGTCTTCAGGGGTAATATGGAGCTGACAGTCCTTCCTTCACAGGGCTACTGTGACAGTTAAATCAAATGATGCACGTGAACTGCCTGGAATATGGCAGTCATTCCACAAAAGTTAGCTCCCTGCTACCCCATCTCCCTCATCCACATAAGCAATTCTTTATTTATCCAGCAAAGACTTATTAAATTCCTATCATGTGCCAGGCACTGTGCTCACTGTTAGGAAAACAGTAAACAAGATAAAGTCCTTGCCACATCTAGACTGGGCAGACAGAAACAAACTCATGCATCAGTCTTGTTTTAAACAAAATACAACAAGGTGGAGGGGGCATAGCTGGGTAGGGTTCAGGGGCTACTTTAGCTATAGAGTCAACCACGGCCTGTCTACAGTGTTAACCTTCATGCTGACATGTAAGGAAGGAGAGGGAGGCAGCTGTGACCCAGGAGAGAGCCCTGGGCAGAGGGCACAGCCAGGACAAAAGCAGTGTGGGGCATATGGGGAGATACTCTTGGAGAGGGGGCAGAGGCTGGTCCTGTTAGAGGTTGAGTCTAAGTGAGATGGGAAGACATTGGGCGGGGGGCACATCTGATTTCCATGCTTATCACTCAGGATGGATGACTCAGAAGGTGAGCGGTCAAGAGAAGTGGACGCAGGAGACCAGCCCAGAGGCCCCAGAGGGATGAGGACTCTCACTTGGACTGGGAGAGTAGCAAAGGAGGTGTAGAGGAGTGGTTGGGTTTAAGGCATGTTTTGGTGGTAGAGTCAAAAATACGTGTTGATGGATTGGGTGTGGGACATTAGGGAAAGTGTGAAATTCAGGGCAACTCTTCAATTTGGTGCTAACTGATCCCCATTATCATCTTCTTCCCTTCTAATCTGTGAAAACTACGACAGAAATGTGGGGTTGCATGGACAGTTTCCAGATTAATTTTTAAGACCACAAACAGAACATAAGTGCTGGAAGAAACCTTAGGCATCATTAATTTAACTGGGGCCCAGTAAATTCATGGCAGAACTGACACCTGGTTTACAGAATCCTTGCTTCGTGTTAATTCCACTTTGACATGCTCCCTTTAGCAAGGGGTCAAGTTGAGATGGAGAACCCTCAGTTTAGGCTACAAGACAGTGGTGTTTCTTAAAACAATTGCTTTATTAAATGTCAACAGATATGGTTTATACATAGGAATGTATAAGGTATGAAGAATAACAATACAAGAAACAGTTGTGAGCCTCTTCCCACCCCCATTTAAGAATCAGGAGCATTATCATTCTCTTTGCAGACCCCAGTGCCTCTGACCAATCCCTTCTCTGACCTCTTTTCTCAGAGTTTTATTACTCCCTCACTTTTCTGTATAGTTCTATTGCACACTTGCATCCCTAAAAAATATGTGGCTTTGTTATGCATGCTTTTGAACTTTATATAAATGGAATCATACTGTGTGCCGCCTTCTGTGACATTCTTTAGCCGAACACTTTGTTTTAGAGATTCATCTATATTGTTGCTTGCTGCTATTGTTCATTCAGTTTTCATCCCAGAATAACATTCTATTGCATGAACGTAACAGCTTATCCATTCCACTGTGGACAGATTGCCGGCTGTTTGCAGACTCTCGCTTGTTCAAGAGTGCAGCTGTGGAGATTCCTGTTCACATCTGTTGGTGTACGTGCTGGGGAGCTTCTCTAGGCTGTCTGGGTAGGAATGTGATTGTCGGTTGCTTATCTTCAGCTTTACCAGGTAATGCCATGTCATTTTCCAGAGACATTGTATTAGTTCATACTCCTGCCAGCAGCATAGAATTTCTACTGCTTCACATTCTTGCCAACATTATAAATTGTCAGACTAGAAAAGTTTTGCCCACCTGATGGATGTGAAAAGGTACTTCATTTAAGTTTCAGTTTGCATGCCCTGGGTATTAATGAGATAGAACATCTTTTTCAATGTTTATTGCCAGTCAAACTCTTCTGATATGAATTGAAACTTATTATCTATAAAGTATATTTTGGTGGCCAGGAAGTGCCATCATCATATCTCAGGAACTCTGGGTCTTTCTCTGCAAACTTATTCTAACTGAAGCTTCCCCCTCAGGTAATGCAATGGTCCTCCCAGTTGCTAAGGCTGGACACTGCGAAGCTCTCCCCGCTCTTGCTCTTTCCCTTTACATCCCATGTGATAGGAAATCCTGTTGGCCCCCCTTTTAAAATGAACCCAGGATTGAAACACCTCCCACCACTCCTGCCTCCAGCCTGGTGCAGGCCACCAGGCTCTGAATTTCTGCAGTCTCTCTGTTTTACCCTCCCCTGCAGCAGGCAGGCGATCATGTCAACACTGTCCACACCCGGTGGTGGCTGCTAACCTCTCCCAGAGTAGAAGGCAAAGCCCTTACAATGGCCTACACCACCTCACAGGAGACGTAGGGACGTGGAAAAGAGGGGGTTGGCTAAGAAGAGGGTGGTGACTAGGCCATCCATCTGCAGCATGGCTGGGGCTTCCTTACACAGTGACTAATGCTGGGTTCCCAGGGGCTGTACGGCAAAGACAAGCACTAATGCACAAGCACTTTCTGATAGCTTTGGATTCTCTCATGTCCCACTGTCCAAAGTGGGTTACCCAGCAGGGCCCAGATTCAAGGTCTGGAAAACCAACTCCACTTCATGACAGGGAGAAGGACAAAGCCACATGGCAGAGAGAGGTGTGTGTGTAGAGAAGGGTGAGATTGTGGCCATTTTTAAAGTCTACTACCCTGGATTAAGCACTACAAGTATCAAAGATGGGGAAGCAAATAAGATAAATGGTGGGTAAACCTCTATAGATGACTGCATAAAAGAAAGTCAAAAGGTCTGGATGGTTGGAGTGGTGTGTTAGAAAGATCAGAAATACTGCATGCATCCACTTTTGGGAATCCGTGTTTAAATGTCACCCACTTTAAGATCTGATCTGCTTGCCCTCTGATTTGGAGAGATTAACTAAAAAATTATCCAGGTCAGGTCAGCTAAGGTAGGTATTTAATCCATCTCTCAGAATGTGGGTGGGTGTCCAGAAAAAAACAGACCCAGATACTGCTCGCTCTGTGCCTGGTTCTTCAGGGCTTTGAGATGTTTTTTAAAAATAAAGGTGAACACTGAATTTAACAAGTTGAAATTTCCTGGTTTTATTATCAGCCTATGTACATCAGAAGGGCACATGTGCAGAATGAGCCTCAACTTCTTGGAGTTCTCCCACCGCCACCATTCTCGGGTATAATGAATCATAGACTCGGGGTGTGGGGGCCTCCAGGTTCTCCAACGACCATACAAAAAAGTTTGAGTCGTGAAAAAGTTTAACCTCAAAACTGTAAAAAAGAAACTGGAAAATCTAAATTAATATATAATCGATTGTCTTTGAAAAAGAACATTATACCAACCTCATTAACTGTTAAATTTTGATTCATAAAAATCTAAATGACATTGGAAAGCAATTTGCATAACAGGTCTTCACACTTCCCAAGAATTCTCAGCGATGCCAAAAAAAATCACAGCCAAGAGCAATTTAAATGACTTCCTAAAAGCCAAACAAATCCAAAATTATAAATAGTCCCTTAAATTCAACTTTGTGACAGAAGCGAAGACAGGCGGCATTACCGTGTCTGGTATGTCGCCCCAAATGTGCTGTTTGGTGTCTCAGAGGGTCACAGCCCGACCAGGCCCGCAAACTCCCGGCGGGCACCGCTATCTGCGTCTTCCAGGCGGCGCAGCCGAGTCCCTTATCGGACGGTCTTCCGCCCCAGTTGTGTCCTCAAGCCACGAGCCCCGACCTCGCGCGCCTGGGCGGAGGAGCGCTCCCACGGAGACGCCGCGCTCCCGGGCCCAGGGGACCGAGCACTGCGGAGGGCACAGGTGGAGGCCGCCAGCCCCGCCCACCGTTGCCTCACGGCACTGTGCCCCAAGGCCCGGCGGCCGGCCGGCGCGCTGCTCTGACGCGCCGGCGCATTCTGTCTGACGTGACAGGCCCCGCCCCGGCTCCGCCCCCAGCCGCGCGGCGCCCGCCCTCCCTCAGCCGGGGCTGCTTCGTCTGAGGAGGCTGAGGCAGCGGCTGAGGCGGCGGCTAGCTTCGGCGTCTTGCTCCCTACTGCGGTCGCAGCTCTCCGGCCAGCTCCGGCCTCGGTCCCCGGCGCGGCCGTCCGAGCCCCTGCGGCCGGCGGGCGATGGTGCGGCGGAGCGCGCGGACGAGGGCGGCGCGGCGGCGGGCATGAAGGAGGATGGAAGGGCAGGACGAAGTGTCGGCGCGGGAGCAGCACTTCCACAGCCAAGTGCGGGAGTCCACGGTGCGTGGGGACGGGGCCGCCAGTGACAGCCTGCGCCCTGGCCCCGGGTCCTTCCGCCGCCGCCCCCGGGCCCCCTCCCCTCCCCTCCCCGCGTCCGGGCGCCCTCGGGGTCCTCGCCCCCTTCCCGGGTCCCCGGGCGCCCTCCGGGGTCCTGACTCCCCAGCCGCCCTCGGGGTCCTGGCCCCGCTCCCCGTCCCCGGCGCTCTCCCTGGTCCTGGCCCCCTCTGTCCTGCTCCCGGGCCCCCTCCCCAGCTCCAGCCTCCGCCCCTCCGTCTTCTCCTCTCGGGATCCCCTCTCTGCCCCGAGCCCTGCCCCCTCCCGTTTCCTTTCACCCCCCCTTGGCCTCCCCCTTTCCTCCCCTCCCCCCAGTGGCGGCCTCCCCATTGCCACCTCCCGCCCAGGTCACCTGCGCCGGCTCCCGCCCTGCGTCCCCCACCTGGGTGCCCCGTGTGGCCTCGTCGTGCCACCTGCCTTCCCCCGGGGGAGGGCTGCAGTGCCCACCAGCGCTCCCTGACCCCTCCCGGCTTTCCCGTGGTCCGTGCTGGACCTGCCCGCCTTTCCCGTGTCCCCGCGGGGGCAGGGGGAGCCCAGTTAGTTGCCTGGTCCGGGTCAGCACCTCCGGCCCTCCCCGTGCCCTCCCGCCTTCATCTCCCTCCAGTCCCCGTGTGGATTGAGTTCGAAAGCTTCCTGTTTGGGGTGAGAAGACTGGTTATTTATGGGAGTGAACACCTGAGCGAAAGTGCATCTTGCTCTGAAAGTTACTTATGGAAGTCATCATTTTTTGCCCATGTTTCATCTGTGCCGTTGGCAGGGATCAGGAAGGACTCGACCTTGGAAAGTCTGTTTTGATATTTTTACCTTTTTCATGATGCACTAGAATACATTATAATTGTGTTTGTGTTTTAACAACTGTGTAAAATGGATGAATTTTATTGATAAGTATTTGTGATATTTGCCCCTCGCCTCTTGTAACACTTTCCTCAAAATTCAGTCACACTCTTGGTTCGACGTGAAAAAATTCTGGTTTAGAATTGTCTGATTTGTGTAGTTATTGATCTTTAAAATTGGGAATCATTTTGCCAAGTCATACCTTGGAATTGAGCTAGTGGAATTTTGAGCTAGTGGAATTTTGAGCTAGTAGAATTTGGTACAGCATATTTTGTTTTATTTTAATTGTTTTATCGAAGGTAAAATATACAGAAGTACATGTAATTATATGTTCCCTTCAAAGCATTTTATGATAAACATACCTGTGTACTCCTCAGTCCAGTTAAGAAACAGGATTTTACTAGCATCCCAGAGGCCCATCCCATTCCCTTCCAGTTACTCTCTACTCCTCCAAGGGTAAACGCTGCCCTGGCTTCTAACAACATAGTTAAGTTTTTGCTTAGTTTTGAACTTTACGTAAGTGGAATCTTACAGTATGCGCCCTTTTATGTTTAGTTTCTTATGCTCTACAATGTTTGTGAATTTCTCCATATTGTATATGATTATAATTCATTCTCAGTGCTGTAGTTGTGTGACTATAGCACAATTTATTTTTATTTTCCATTTTGCTCTTGATGGGCACTTCAGTAGTTTCTAGGTTTTGGCTATGAATATTTTTGTACATTTTTTTGTGTGAATATATGTGTGCATTTCTGTTGGATATAGACCTGGAAATGCAATTGCTACGTTAGAGGGTATGCATTTGTTCATCTTTAGTTATTTTTAAACAGTTTTCCAAAGTGGTTGTACCAATTTATACTCCCACCAGCACTGAGAGTATCAGAGTTGTGGTTGCTTCCCATCTTAACCAACGCTTGATATTTTCCATCCTTTTTAATTTTAGGCATTCTAGCAAGTATATTATAGTATTTATTATACAAAGGACTTTAATTTGCATTTCCCTGGTGACTAATGAATCTGAGCACTTGTCTATATGTTTGTTGGCCTTTTGGAAATCTTTTGTGAAGTGTCAGATTTTTTCCCCCTTTTTAAAAATAAAGTTCATCTTTTTAATATTGATTTGCAAGATCTTCATTGTGTTCTGGATATATTTCTTTGTTATATATACATATTGCAGATATTTTTCCCCTACTCTGTGGATGCCTTTCATTCTCTTAATGATACTTTCTGATGAACTGAAGTTATTAATTTTAATATAGGTCAATTTATGAAAAATTTCTCTTTTATCTTGAGTACTTTTATATCCTGATTAAGAAACCTTTGGTTATTACAAGATTATGATGTTCTCTTATGCTTTATGGAATCACTCTTCCCATTTAAATTTGCATCCATCTGGAATTTATTTTTTGTGGATGGTGTGAGGTAGGAGTCATTTTTTTCCCCACATGAATGTCCAGTTGCTTCAGCACCATTAATGACTATTTTCACAAATTAGGTAACTGTATATTTGTGGTGTTTAATTTTGGACTCTGTGCTGTTTCATTGGTTTATCTTTGGTTTTATTTTTAATTAATTAGAAATTTTGTAATTTAGATTAAGAAAGGGGCCCGTGTTATAGCAGTCCAGAGCTTTATTACCTTTTTACCTTAGAAACAGCCCAGTTTTGGAACCTATTATAGAGTTCCTTAGTTCTGTTCCTCCTCACCTTGTTTTCTTGAACCTAGTGCCCCTGGGTGGTGCACCCCTTCATCTTCGGAAAGACTGCAGACAGTGACCAAGCTCAGTGCGTTTTGAGTCTTTGACATTTCTTCCTCAATTTATTTACATTTAGAGTGAATATAAGTATTTGTTTTTTCTGTGGGACTCCCACTTATAAGTGAGAACATGTGGTATTTGGTTCTTTGTTTTTGGGTTACTTAGAATAATGGCCTTCAGTTCCATCCAAGTTGCTATAAAAGACATTATTTCATTCTTTTTGATGGCTGAGTAGTATTCCATGGTGTGTGTGTGTGTGTGTGTGTGTGTGTGTGTATTTGTATATATAAATACCACATTTTCTTTATTCAGTCTTCGGTTGGTGGGCACTTAGGTTGGTTCAATATCTTTGCAATTGTGAATTGTGCTGCAATAAACATACAGGTTCAGGTGTCTTTTTTATAAAATGACTTCTTTTCTGTGACTGTCTGATTTCAGACAGTCCTTAATGTCCTCAAGATTCATCCACACTGTCACACATTGCAGGCTTTTCTTCTTTTTAAAAGCTGAATAGTATCATTTCATTGTACGTATATACCACACTTTCTCCATCTGTGATGCACATTTAGGTTGTTTCCACATCTCGGCCATTGTGCTGCAGTGGATATACGAGTGCTGATATCTCTTTGAGATTGTGATTATTATTCTTTAGGATAAGCACCATGAAGTGGGATTGCTGGATTATGTGGTAGTTCTGTTTTTAAAGTTTTGAGAAACCTATATGCTGTTTTCCATAGGAACTGCATCATTTTGCTTTCTCATCAACAGTGCGTATGGGTTCCAGTTTCTTCACATCCTCATCAACACTACTTCTTTTATATCCTGATTAAGAAACCTTTGGTTATTACAAGATTATGATGTTCTCTTATGCTTTATGGAATCACTCTTCCCATTTAAATTTGCATCCATCTGGAATTTATTTTTTGTGGATGGTGTGAGGTAGGAGTCATTTTTTTCCCCACATGAATGTCCAGTTGCTTCAGCACCATTAATGACTATTTTCACAAATTAGGTAACTGTATATTTGTGGTGTTTAATTTTGGACTCTGTGCTGTTTCATTGGTTTATCTTTGGTTTTATTTTTAATTAATTAGAAATTTTGTAATTTAGATTAAGAAAGGGGCCCGTGTTATAGCAGTCCAGAGCTTTATTACCTTTGTACCTTAGAAACAGCCCAGTTTTGGAACCGATTATAGAGTTCCTTAGTTCTGTTCCTCCTCACCTTGTTTTCTTGAACCTAGCGCCCCTGGGTGGTGCACCCCTTCATCTTCGGAAAGACTGCAGACAGTGACCAAGCTCAGTGCGTTTTGAGTCTTTGACATTTCTTCCTCAATTTATTTATATTTAGAGTGAATATAAGTATTTGTTTTTTCTGTGGGACTCCCACTTATAAGTGAGAACATGTGGTATTTGGTTCTTTGTTTTTGGGTTACTTAGAATAATGGCCTTCAGTTCCATCCAAGTTGCTATAAAAGACATTATTTCATTCTTTTTGATGGCTGAGTAGTATTCCATGGTGTGTGTGTGTGTGTGTGTGTGTGTGTGTGTGTATTTGTATATATAAATACCACATTTTCTTTATTCAGTCTTCGGTTGGTGGGCACTTAGGTTGGTTCAATATCTTTGCAATTGTGAATTGTGCTGCAATAAACATACAGGTTCAGGTGTCTTTTTTATAAAATGACTTCTTTTCTGTGACTGTCTGATTTCAGACAGTCCTTAATGTCCTCAAGATTCATCCACACTGTCACACATTGCAGGCTTTTCTTCTTTTTAAAAGCTGAATAGTATCATTTCATTGTACGTATATACCACACTTTCTCCATCTGTGATGCACATTTAGGTTGTTTCCACATCTCGGCCATTGTGCTGCAGTGGATATACGAGTGCTGATATCTCTTTGAGATTGTGATTATTATTCTTTAGGATAAGCACCATGAAGTGGGATTGCTGGATTATGTGGTAGTTCTGTTTTTAAAGTTTTGAGAAACCTATATGCTGTTTTCCATAGGAACTGCATCATTTTGCTTTCTCATCAACAGTGCGTATGGGTTCCAGTTTCTTCACATCCTCATCAACACTACTTGTCTTTTGTTTTGTTTTTGATAATAGCCATCCTAACAGATGTTAGGTGATATATCATTGTGATTTTGATTTAAATTGACCTGATGATTAGTGACGTTGAACGTTTTTTCATGTACACGTTGGCTGTTTGTATATCTTCTTTGGAGAAATGTCTATTCAAGTCCTTAGCCTGTTTAAAAAAAAATTTTTTTTTTAGAGATGGGGTCTTGCCATGTTGCCCAGCCTGGTCTCAAACTCCTGGCCTCAAGTGATTCTCCTACCTCAGCCTTCTG